GTCATTTCTCTCAGGGGCACACGCTGGTGCCCTCGCGCTCACACCTGCAGTGCCCCGGACGGCTGGGCAGCTCCTTCATCCTCTACGTATGGATCCATGTTTTGTTTCCAGGTTTGTACATGACATTGTTCCTGTTTAACTCAGACTCTACAGTGACAAGGTCGTTTACAGTTTCTATCATTGCAGTCTCACAGGTTCTAGCAAAAATTGTGAATACGTTTAATACTGGTATTCAAAACACAGCTTTCATGAAACACTTCACAGGAATGGACAGATTGACAAGTTAAGCATGATGTTAATAAATCTTACTTCGAATATGGATTCGGGCGGCAACAGGACTGTTGCCAGATAAAGAAGAGGTCTACCTCACATTAGCTCATGGCACACGAACAGAACAGTTTTAGTTCTTTCCTGGTGTTTTTTTTAACCACTAAACGGTGTCCATGGCTTAATATTCAGATTTAGGCCGTATACATAAGAATTCACACATCCACCACTATGCCCACTTACATGTACAGTCATACTTTCCTTTATTTACTTCCATACACTCCTACACCAACCATTATTCTCTCTAAAACACACAATACTCTCTTACAGGCCTACCCTTTCACAGACAGCACCATATATTCTCATACACACACTTGCACTAACACACCAGTAGTAACAACCTACTGTAACAGTGTAATAATACACTGACAGAGGCAGCACACGTCGGTTCTGCAGTAGGATTTTAAATGTAGGACTTTCACGTGTAATGAAGTTAGTTGAGGTCGTTCTATTAGTACTTTTAACACTCAAAACTCTTTTCCCACCACTAAGGACACCTGACACTGCTAACGTCCTTGTTATCTCAGTAACAGCTGGTTCAGCAAAGCCATTTGACTGGAGAAAGACGCATTCATTCTGTCTTGATGATTCTCATAATGATTTTAGTTACTGTGAAAACTCTTGCGGCAGCCTGAAAGCATTAAGATGACGATGCATGACCATTTGCTTTTAACGTGAGGATGTATTTGAAAGTGAAAAATTAGGGAAATGTTGCCACATTTTGTGCTGTGGTCAGTGAAAAATGAGTGCATCTAGTGTGTTCTTCATTCAGTGTACACAAAACAGCTGATACACATGGACAACAGACATCCAGCAGTTTGGATTCTAACTGTTCATTGTAGAAACTCTTCAGTTTCTCCCCATCCATGAACTGTTTCACTGACAGAGACAGAAACACTCAGACTTTGATAAGAAAGAATCCAACCATGTGCAAAAGTAAACTAAGAACTCTTTTATTTTTTGCTTACTT